CAAGGTTGTAAAAAAGCAGTCAAAGTTGGGTATGACGACACATGCCTATAATCTCAGCATTCTGGGAAGCTGAAGCAGGACAATCACACGTTTGAGCTCAGCCTGAACAACTTAGTCACTTAGTGAGACCCTGTCTCAAAATAAAAAATGGGATGGAGATATATGAGATGTGACCAGTATATATGGGGAATAGTTTATTACAGTTGAGCATGGTGGCACATGCCTATAATCCCAGTACTTGGAAAACTAAGGCAGGAGAATTGCTGTGAGTTCAAGGCCAGCCCAAACTACGTAACAAGACCGTGTCTCAAAAATAACAAATCTATTATAGTAAAAGACACATTGACATTACTTCCTATCAAAATACTACTCCTTTCTTCAAACACACATACATTTCTGCCACTTTCTGAAGCAGTTCTGGAAGCCCACTTTTGTGATTAAAAAAAAATATGGTGAATGTGGCAACCAAGTGCCATTCAGTGGAAAGGAAGGTTCATAAAAGCATCACGGTGTGCCCTCACCCACCTTATCCGCTATGTCTGGCAGTGTGCAACTTCTGGCTCGTCCCCAGTGTCCAAATGACCATGAAAAGTAAGCATTTTGGATCGGTTCAGGACATGAAGGCAGCCACAACAGTGCAACTAGAAACATTCATGAAAGAGGACTTCAGATCTGCTTCAGGAAGTGTCAAGAACGGTTGAGTCAGGATGTCTGAAGCAAGGGGGAGTATTCCAGGGGGGATTCATGGCAGTGTGTCTGCTTCAGTGGTAAACTGTTCCTTACTTAAACATTCACCCTATTGCAAAGGCCCTGATTCGATTCCCATCACCACACACACAAGCAGTTGATAGAATGGTTTTCCTTTGGGCTTCTCAATCTGTCAGGTACTACAGGTAGTAAAATGTCTAATGAGAAAACACAAATGGTATAGAAACGTATTAACTGAAGAAAAATATTAAAAAGAATAACATTTGTTTAATATCTTGAAAATCAAACACACAGGATAGAATTTTAATAGTAATTAAAGTATTATTTTTAAATAGTATTTAAAGTATTAATTTTTAATAGTAATTAAGAGGAATGTCATATAACTTGGGTTTGAATCTGGAGCACTTTCATAAGTGCGTTTCCTCATCTTTAAGTGGGGGAATAATGCTCAGTAGAGTTGTCAGGAGACCAAATGAGAAATCATCTGTACATTCATAACTGTGCTTGGCACACAGATTCGATGGGTTTGAGTTTTTCATTTTCACTGATGAAGGAAAGGGATTTTCAGCAAGTCATTTCCAGCACTGGAGCTTCATTTTGCTGTTTTCATTAGCTCAAGTTGTAAACCCAGAATAAATGAATCTCTTACTTACCTTGTTGGCCATTCTATCCAGAATTTCTTTCTTTCTTTTTTTTTTGGACTGGGAATCAAACTCAGGCCCTTGCATGTGCCAGGCAGGCACAGTGCTGCTGAGCTATATCCCTGGCCCTATACAGAATTTCTTGTAAGACGAAGATTGAAAAATGCTTTGGTACATGTTGGCAATAACCTATAGTCCTAGGTATGGGAAAGCTGAGGCAAGAGGATCACTTGAGTTCAGGGGTGTAAGGCCAGTCTGGGCAACATAGAGAGACTTGTCTCAAAAAGGGAAGGGGGGGCTTTAGTTACTCTTGTTGCTGAGACAAAATATGCAGCACCCACAAGTTAGAGGAGGAAAAGTTTATTTTGGTTTACATTTTGTGGAGGTTTCAGTCTGTAGTCAGCTGTCTCCAAGACAGGGTGACGGGGCACAGGTTCATCACAGAAGAGAGAGAAAGTTCATGGTGTGGCAAGTAGAAGGCAGCAAACAGTGAGCCTGTCTTTCCTTTTGTCTCATCCAAACTACAAGCCTTTTGGGTGGTGACACCCACACCCAGGCTGGGACTTCTGTCCTCACTAAATCCATTCAGCCACACCCAGAACTCTGCTAATTCCAATCAGTGGACTAATTTAGTGCCACACTCCCTTGATCCCAGTGTCATATGCTCTAGATATAGCAAATTCTGAAAATTCCCACTTATGTGTGCATGAGGTTTTAGAGGGACATCTGGATATGAGCCATAATAGGGGGGTTAATGTATTACTTTTATAGTCAGCAAAACTATAAAAGAATTTCCATTTTGATAAATGAATAAAAAAAGTTAGTTACAAAAAAAAATAAAAGCTGGGTGTGGTGGTGCACACCTGTAATCCCAGCACTCAGGAGGCTGAGGCAGGAGGATCATGCAAGTTCAAGACCAGCCTGGGCTACAAAATGAGCTCAAAAAAACCAAAGTGAGCTCAAGGCCAGCCTGAACTGCATAGCAAGACCTTGTCTCAAAAAATGTTGGTTACATCTGAGCTGGGTGGTTTGTGTTTTGCTGCTAGATTAACCAGTTAGCTCTGGGAATATGTCATGTTTTTCTTTTAATCAGGCCATACTAGGATGCTTCATTATGATGATGTGAAGATAAATGTGCTTGGATTATCTTAGGCCGAAATGAGATTGCCTTATTCAGTCTTCAGTGAACTTGTTCCTGTTAACTAAAGTCTAACTAGATTTGCTTTAGGAGCCAAACTCTTGACAGGAGAGTATATCTTTTTTAGATACTAGGTAGGACTTTTCCTCTCTTCATTCAGAAGCACAAATGGACTTTTTTGTTTTTCAAATTGTTGAATATGTGAAATCTGTTTTGTGATTTAAAATTTTTCTATTTACAGGAGTTGTTTTATATAGAAATCTTGTGGGACCACTGCACAGAGTGATGATTGTACAAAGAGTGGTACTGAATTCCCGACCTGGTATGTATTCATCTGTCATCTGTGAACAACTGTGGTCTCTGATAATTATTAATGCAAATGGGGAAATAAACACTAATTATGGTTGGGCATGATGGTGCATGGCTGTAATCCCCAGCATTTGTGAGGCTGAGCCAAGAGGATCTCCATGAATTCTCAAGGCCATCCTTGACTACATAGTGAGACCATGTCTCAAAAAAAAAACCCCAAAAATAGAAAGCAAAAAATGAAACTAATTATAATGCCAGTGTGGTAAATTAAGGTAGTAAGATCTTAAGACCATAAAAATATTAGAAGAAATCCTTTGAACAGTGTAACAGTGATGAGATAAACTATCATGGAAACCTAACATTTGAAAGGAGGCTATATTGCAAATATGTGTGGCTTTTGTTTTTTTCGGAGTAGGTGTCACAGATTCTTACCATTTGCTTTTTTGTTTTACGTGAAACATATTGATGTCTGTCGGTGCCGAGTCCTAGAAACTTAGGTATAGAAGTAACCTGAGCGGTTTGGGCCCACGGTGGCCTTGGTTTTGCTGCTCACCTGCTGTGTGGCCTAAGGAAGTCACTCAGCTTTGCTGACCTCAGCTTCAGGAAAGTGAGCAGTTAGATTAAGGTCCTTATTCTGTTCCCACTTTATTAACCAGATGATTCTTGAGTAGTAAGTTTATTTATGTTAAATATAATTGAAGATAAAGTATAATTTTCGTGCTGACATTTTCTGCTTACATATGTGTCTCAGGCCTTACAACTTCTAATTCCCTCGGTTTAAAAACTTAACTTTTTTTTTAGTGTTAAAGTTTTTGTTTGCTTCTTAAAGTGGGAGAGGAAAATGATCACCTAATTACTATTTCACTTTGGCTGGTGTGTTCTTGCTAGTTTGTAAATTTTAATTCTCATAATTTAAAAAAAGTTGAGTGATTTTTTTAATTTTTCAAACTCCTGTTTTATACTATGGGAAATGATTTACCTATCATCATTTTATAAAAAACAAAATTACAAGCTCACAGCAGTGTTGCAGTTGCAGAGAAGTTACAAGACAATGTAGATTTATTTGTGCCTGTTTTATTTTTTTGTTTTGTTTTGTTTTTCTCCGGTACTGGGAACCGAACTCATGACCTTGCCAGGCAGGCGCTTTTGCCGCTGAGCTAAATCCCCAGCCCCTTATTTGTGCCTGTTTTTTTTTTTTTTCCGTTTTTCTCCGGTACTGGGAACCGAACTCACGACCTTGCACTTGCCAGGCAGGCGCTTTGCCGCTGAGCTAAATCCCCAGCCCCTGTGCCTGTTTTAAAAGAGAGTGTTCTGAGTTGTAGGGTGACCTTTTAAAAAATAATAATTATAAAAATGGGGTTATAGCTCAGTGGCACAAGCGCCTGCCTGGCAAGTGCAAGGTCCTGAGTTCAATTCCCAGTACCAAAAATAATAATTATTATTATTTACTATATGTGAAAATGACTTTTTGACTTTATATTTTTGCCTGATATTATAGGAAAAAATGGCAGTCCAGTGGCAGAAAATTTCCGAATAGAAGAAGTCAATTTGCCAGATAATATCAATGAAGGGCAGGTACAAGTTAAAACCCTTTATCTTTCTGTGGACCCTTACATGGTAAGAACCAAGATACTGTGAGTTGGTGAAAATATTTCTATTTTCTTGTCATTGCTTTGGAATTTTATTTTGTAATCCTTATGACTGATATTTGAGCAGTTACATCTCGGTACCTATGAATTACTTTGTTTTTATTTACTGGTCTTAGGAATGTTGTAGAAGGCATGCATTTTTTTATAATAGTAATACATGCAGTTATTCAGGTTCTTCCAAGTATCCGTATCACTTCCCAGTAGTAAATAAAGATCGAAAATACTAAGCTGAGTTTGGGAATTCAGACCTGGTTTCAAGGCAGGATATACACCAGATGTTTATTCCAGTTGATCTTTTTGGAAAGGAACAGACTCATTTATGCTACCTCTGGATAAAAGGAGAGTTCCTGGAAAGTATGTGTTGCTGAGGACTGAACAAAGAAACCGTCAGGCACAGGGGCTTGAGCTTGAAGGGCTGTCTTCCTGCTTTGTTTCTCTCAGAGCTCACACAGTCTTCCTTACTCCTAACTTAATCTCATGGCCATGACAAGCACACTTCTTCTGTTTTTTGTTTTGTTTTGTTTTTTGTTTTGGTCTTTTTGAGACAGGGTCTTGCTATGCAGTTCAGGCTGGCCTTGAACTCACTTTGTAGCCCAGGCTGGTCTTGAACTCACAGTGATCCTCCTGCCTCAGCCTCCAAGTGCTGGGATTACAGGCATGCGCCCGGCTGATAAGCACATTTCTATCCATTGCTTTACCTCTGGCTGCTCAAAGCGTCAGTGCTTAGTATCAGATTGTCGAGAGGGGAAACAGATCAGTTTACCTGTTTTGTTTTGTTCAACTATTTCATAGGTTACTGACCCACTCTTAGCTTCCTGTTGCTGGTATAACACATTATTATAAACTTACTGGCTTCAAACATCACAAGTCAAAAAAATTACCATATAGTTCTAGAAATCTGAGAGTCCAAATGGGCCTTTACAGTCCAAAATCAAGGTTTGGCAGGGCTGCTCTCCTTCTGAGGGCTGTAGGGAGAATCTGTTGCCTTTTCTGCATTCTAGACACTGCCCGTGGTCTTGATTCATAACCCGGCATTATTCTAACCTTTGCATCAGTGGTCGTATCTCTGACTCTGACTCTCCTTCCTGCCTCTATAAGAGGACCCTTGTGATTATATTGGCCCCACTAGGATAATCCAGGGTAGTTTCTCCCATCTCAAGATTTTGTTTTGTTTTGTGTTTATTGTGAGACAGGATCTCACTATGTAGCCCAGGCTGGCCATGACCGCATGGCAGTCCTTCAGCCTGAGCCTTTCCAGTGCTGGGATTACAGGTGCGCGCCACCACGCCCAGCTCCCACCTCAAGTTCATTATCTTCATCATATCTACAAAGTCCCCTTTGCCATCTAATGTAACATACCGACAGATCCCATGGGACTAGGACATGGAATTGTTGGAGACCATTGTTCTGCCTGTCATACCCATATGTCGGGTCCAGGGGTCAGGGGCTCTGACAGAGTCCACGCAGCTGTGGTTGGAGGGAGGGTTAGGCAAGGGCTGCCCTTAATTGGGGAGCAGTGGCCATGAGAGGTTACAGTCAGTCAGCCTGTCTTCAGGTTAGAAGGCTCGTGACAGGGTCTCTCACTTCAGAACAAGAAAAGAACATCTTACATGTGGCTCTCAGGTTCTCTAACAGGCGTGTGAGTCAAAAATCAGAGGGGGTCAAAGTGCCCCTAGAAAAGGCCCTTTACTTGGTCTTAAATCACTTGGGTCTGGCCCTTGGGAACTCAGGATCATTGTTTGCTCCTCTGCTGTGACATACCAGAGCTTTCCTTCCCTGGGCTTCACTTGCCCTTCCCAATGGGCCATTCTTTCCCTTTTATCATTGAATGCCCCAGTGAGGAAAAAGCTGTATTATTTTTTCTCTCCTTTCCCATTTGCTTTTCAGCTAGTGAAAAGCCACATCTCATAATCTCATATTTTCTTTTTTTCTGTTTTTGTGGTTAAGTGCTGGGGATTAAACACAAAGCTTTGTTTATGCTAAGCACATTCCATACCACTGAGCTACACCCCCAGCCCATTATGTTTACTTTTAACATCTAAACCTTTCCCGTGTTGTTATTGAGACTCCAAGTACTTTTTCCCATTATTGGAGACATTTAAACTAAATGAACAATTTTATTATTTTTGTTGGCACTGTAAACAGTTGGAACAGAAGTGTATAGAGAAGTAGAAGAGTCTTACAAGGTTGGTTTATTGGTCTGTTGAGTAGTTGACAGCAGTAGAAGTACTAATGTCAGTTTCCTAGTTTTGATGTCACCCTACAGCTGTGTGGGGGAAGCTGAGTAAAGGACTGTGTATTTCATTTCATTTTGATGTACACAGGCATTTATTAGCAGAATTTTAAAGTACACACTCAAAGAATTGGCGTGTAGAGCCTTGCGAGGGAGAGGCACATTGTCACCCAGGGCTGGAGGCAGTTGCCTGTTTCTGGCAGTGGAACATACGAGTCTGTGAAAGCTTGGGTTTGATTTCAGGAGAGAAAACAATGGCCCACCCACAGGTAGAAAGATAACAACTCATTTCACACATGAAAGGATGGCCCATTTTATAGGAGAAAGGCACAGATTCCGTCTAATTGTATTTCTTAAAGTCAGGTTTCTGTCCTTGATCTTTTAAAAAAAGGTTAAGGTTATTGGTACAATTTACATGTACATATCGGTCACATTCATCGCAGGGAATTTGTACCTGGACGTGGTGTATCTTAGTGTCTCTTTTTCCCCATTCCCTTTTACCCCTTGAGCCCCCTCTCCCCTTCCTTATTTACAAAGTGTTGTTCCCATTTTATCTTAATTTTCTCATTTTTTTCTTTTTCTTTCTTTCCTTTCTCCTTCCCCCACTCCCTAGTTCCTCTTTCCTTTTGAACAAATTCTTTGTATTTCACAGTTTCTGTTACACATTTTGATTCTTATTTATACTTTCAATTTTTCACAGCAGAGAGACTGTGCAATATTTACATGTGTGTCCAGTTTATTTCACTTAAGAGTATGATCTCAAGGCCCATCCATTTTGGCTATAAATTTCTCAAATTTATTCTTCTTTATGGCTGAGTAGTACTCCATTGTATAAAAAAACACATATTTTTATCCATTTATCAGTTGATGGGCATTTAGGGTGCTGCCAAAATTTAGCTATTAAAAATTGTGCCACTATAAGCATGGGTACACATATATTACTGTGGTATGATGCTTTTAATTCTTTGGGGAAGATACCAAAAAGGGGAATAGTTGGGTCAAATGGGACCTCTAGTTTAAGTTTTTTGAGGAATCTCCACACTGATTTCCACAGTAGTTGCATGAGTCTACACTCCCACCAGTATTGGAGAAGTTTTCCCCCACATTCCTGCCAGCATTTGTTATTGGTTGATTTCTTGATAATAGCTATTCTTTCTGGGGTGAGATGGAATTTCAGTGTTATTTTAATTTGGATCTCTTGAATGACCAGTGATGTTGAGTATTTTTCCATATATTTCTTTTCCATTTCTATTTCTTCATCTGAGAAGTGCCTGTTGATTTCAGATGCTCATATTTTGATTGGGTCTTTAAATCTGGGGCTTTGATTTTATTAAATTCTTTATTCTGATATTGGTCCTTTATCTGAGAAATAGCTGGCAACATTTTTTTCCCATTCTGTGGGTTTTCTTTTCACTCTATTGTTGATTTCTTCTTCTGTGCAAAGTCTTTTTAATAAGATAAGATCCAGTTGTTGATTGTTTCTGATAGTTCCTTCTGATTGAGGTTTTGTTATGAAGTCTTTGCCTACACCAATGTCCTCAAGAA